TGTGGCTTATTTTGTGGGCGTGGCTTGATGGTGGTGGGTAATGTGACTGGGTGGGCGTGGCCAACTTTAAAAAAAAACTTTTAAAAACATTTTTTTCTACAATCTTAAGTGGTTGCAGAAAAAAAATGCTTTTAGAAGCCTCTGAAGATCAGGCAACTCAGCTGGGATCGCCAGAGGCTTTTAAAGGCATTTTTTCCCCTACAACCTCTTCGGCCAAAGAGGTTGCAGAAAAAAATGCTTTTAAAAGCCTCTGATGATCCCAGCTGAGCCGCGCGATCATCAGAGGCTTTTTTTTTATTTTAAAAGCATTTTTTCAGCCAAAAAGGTTATAGAAAAAATGCTTTTAAAAGTAAAAAAAAAGAGCCTCTGATGAGGTGGGCGAGGTAAGTGAGCGGCGACTGGGTCGGGGACCGGTTCAGGGGCGTGGCCAGCCAATGTTATTACCGTTTTTTTTTTTAATTTGATTTATATGCCGCCCTTCTCAGGGTGGCTTACAATGCGCTAAGCAATAGCCTTCATCCTTTTGTATATTTATACAAAGTCAGCTTATTGCCCCCACAAACTGGGTCCTCAATTTACCTACCTTAGAAAGGATGGAAGGCTGAGTCAACCTTGAGCCTTGGCGAGATTCGAACCTGCAGTAATTGCAGGCAGCTGGTCTTAATAACAGGGTGCTCCGGTTCTCTGAACTAGTACAAATTTTTACTACAGGTTCTGGCGAACCGGTGTGAACCAGGAGCAAACCACCACTGTTTTAAATCCTTGGTGCTCTCCTAGCTTGGTTGTTTCCCTGCAAATGTTTCACTACCCAAATTAGGTAACATCATTTGCGTGCTAATGAAACATAATGAACCATCTGCAAGGAAACAATCCCCAGCTCAGAGAGCACCAAGGACTCCTCATAGCTATTTATGCTTTCCACTCAGGATATGGGCTTCCTTCCTTGCTCGCTCTTTCTTCCTTTGCTGGACCTGGTGGGACTAAATCTTTATTTTACAGTGACTAGAGCAGGAGATCCGGACAATTATTTAACCCAAGGAGAATCATGGCGTCCACTGGGTTTAATTAATGAAGAAAATTGTTGTCATTCTCAGTGTCTCAGATGCACAGCAGACCCTGTAAGCTCCAAAAAGAAAAAGAAAAAAATAGACCTGGCCATTTTACTTCCTACAAGGTTTTATTATGTTATTTTTTCTCCTTGCAAAGTAAGGCTCCCGATCTTAATGCCAGTTTAGTGCTAACAGGACGTAAAAAATGGCTCAGAATCCAAACAGATGAAGCTGTACAGGTCTGGAATTCATCAGCCAACATGCATCTGGCTGTCCCCGTCCATCCAGTGCCTATAAATGGCCTTGCCTTGGAGACATTGGCCAACAATCAGGTTAGCATCAACGTAACCGCATTAGGAATTATACATCTATACTTTCTGCGTGCTAAGAATCAAAAGACTCAGAAAAGGTGAATTTTGGTGATTAGGGCAACTTTGCATTTTCTGGCTTGCAGAATTTATCTCTCTTTCCCATGCATATGGAAATAGCCTGTTCACCCAGTTTTATGTACCGCTCTCCGTGCCTTTTTGTCTTCATTCTATGTTCATTTATTCAGCCGCTGCTCGTTTTTGAGGCTTTCTAATCCTGGGCTCCGAACGAAAACGCCTTTCGCTCAAGGCCAAAGATAGAACTCATCTGTTGAGATCTACACACCGCTTCTTAAAAGCTTCGCGTCGTTTAAGCACTGTGTTAATTCCCCCGTACAAGTTTTAATTAGTGCAAACAGGTTTTAGCCTACAACCAAGAAAAATACTGAAGGAACTGTATTTCTAAATAAAGATTAAAAAAAAATGGGGGGGGGAAATAAGCTCTTCACTTGAAAATGACTTTTGAAATGCAAGGAAGCAGTTTGAAAAGGCTTCCCGCTTTTTGGGGGTGCTCCGAAACCTGGAAAGAAAAACTTTTGCACTTTTTGTTCAATAAAATGCCCTTTTGCCAATTTGATGCATATGGTCTGAGCCAGGGGTAAAATCTAAGATTTGTTACTACTGGTTCTGTCGGCGTGGCTTAGTGGTGGGGGTAATGTAACTGAGTGGGCATGGCCAACTTTTTTTTTTTAACTTTTAAAAGCATTTTTTCTACAACCTTAAGAGGTTGCAGAAAAAAATGCTCTTAAAAGCCTCTGACAATCAGGCAATTCAGCTTTTAAAAGCATTTTTTCTACAACCTCTTGGTTGTAGAAAAAGTGCTTTTAAAAGCCTCTGACGATCCCAGCTGAGCCGCGCGATCTTCAGAGGTTTTTTTTTTTTACTTTTAAAAGCATTTTTTCGGCCGAAGAGGTTGTAGAAAAAATGCTTTTAAAAGTTAAAAAAAAAAAGCCTCTGATGATCGCGCGGCTAAACTGGGCATGGGGGGGGGGGCACAGGGATTTTTGCTACCGGTTTTCCGAACCACCCACTGCCATCGCTACCGGATCGGGCGACCCGGTCCAAACCAGGAGCATTTCACCCCGGTCTGAGCACTGACAGGCTAACCTCCATGGCACCCCTTCAAGCTCTGCAGCAATGCTAGCAGCACTCATACGTCTATTTCCCAAAGCCAACTTCTGGATATGACGCTGAACACGGGCACTCAAGATCTTGGGTCGGCCATGGCGAGGTCTGTTCTGAGTGGAACCTGTCCACTTAAATCGCTGTATGGTCTTGGCCACCGTGCTGCAGCTCAGTTTCAGGGTCTTCGCGATCTCCTTATAGCCTAGGCCAGTAATAGCTAACCTTTTTGTCATTGCGTGTTGAAAGCGTGCGTGTCCGCGCGACAGCACTCACGCGCACATGCCGGCACTGATAATGCATTGTGTGTGCGATGCCCCCCTGCACGCCCCAACCCCCTGTGCATGTGTGTGCTACCCCCTACACCCCCCATGCATGCGTGCGCGACCCCCTGCGCTTCCCCTATGCCTGCGACCCCCCCTGCACCCCATTTTGGGCCTAGCAGGCCTCCCTGCAGCCACCTGGGACCAAAAACAGGCCACGGGGGGGGTGCACTGCACCCCCGTATGTGAGCATTGCCCTAGTTTGCTCCAGCACGAATGTGAGCGCCGACCCATCTAATTTTCAGGCCTTCCGAGGCCCACCACAACACAGTGAAGCAGGCTGTTTCCGGCCTCGAGAGGGCCTCCGGAGGTGGGTGGGGAAGGCTGTTTTCGCCCTCCCCAGGTTCCTAGAAAGCCTCTGGAGCCTGGGGCGGGCGAAAAACGGGCCTACTGGGCTCACTGTGCCAAAAGTGGGGGGAACGGATTGTTGAATTGAATTATGGCACACACATCCGTGTCCCCCCTGAGCTCCCTGAGCCATCACTGGCCTAGGCCATCTTTCTGTAGAGCAACAATTCGTTTTTTCAGCTCCTCAAGAGAGTTCATTGCCATGAAGCGCATGTTGAATTTCCAGTCACCAGTGTGAGAGATTGAGAGCGATGGCAAAAATTTAGCCACATCTGCCTCCCCCTTCACACCTGAGACTTTCCACTAACGCGTCACATGACACCAGAGAGGGAAAAAGGCAACTTGGGCCCCATTTGGACATTATCACTTAGGGGTGTGTACTCACTTTTGTTGCCAGCAGTTTAGACATGAAGCATTGTGTTATTATGAGGGGGGCAGCACATTTACACTGTTATACAAGCTGTGTACTCACTACTTTACATTGTAGCCAAGTGTCATTTCTTCAGTGTTGTCACATGAAAAGATATATTTAAATATTTACAAAATGTGAGGGGGTGTACTCACTTCTGTGACATACTCTGTGTGGGTGTGTGGGTATATACACATATATATAAGGGTGAAATGCTACCGGTTCAGTCCGGTTCGTCCAAACCGGTAGTAAAAAAATGTAAAAAAACAGATCGGTCACGCATCGCTCAGCTGATCGTCAGAACCTTTTTTTTGTACTTTTTTAAAGCATTTTTTTTTACTACCGGTTCGGGTGAATACGTAGTTAAAAAATGCTTTTAAAAACTTTTGACGATCGCGCAGCACAGCTGTGATCGTCGGAACCTTTTTTTATATACTTTTTTAAAGCATTTTTTAACTACCTATTCGCCCGAACCAGTAGTAAATTATGCCTTTAAAAAGTAAAAAAAAAAGGTTCCCAAGATCATGTGCCACAGCTGATTCCTCTCCCTCACTGTTCTACTTACCTTCCCAAGCCTCCTTTTGGTGCATAATGTGCATGCGCGGCCAGCAAACCGGTAACAAGCTGGTTCAGATTTCACCACTGATATATATGTGTGTGACACAGGGGTGGGTTCTAAAATTTTTTACTACCGGTTCTGTGAGCGTGCCTTATTTTGTGGGTGTGGCTTGATGGTCATGTGACAATTCTTTAGGATTTAGCAGAGATACTGGTCTACCAGGATTTTTAACTACTTGCAGAGCTGTACCGGTCTACTCATTTGCTTTTGGAGGCACTGGTCTACCCATTTATTTTTGCAGGCACTGGTCTACTCATTTGTTTTTGCAGGCACTGGTCTACTCATTTGTTTTTGGAGGCACCGGTCTACCACCACACTGCCTTTTAACACTGATCAGCTGTAGGGCGGCCCTTTGAAGCTCCACGGCAAGAGTTTAAACAGTTTTTTTCCTTCTAGCCAGGATTCAGGGGCAGCAATAGATTGGGGTGGGGACAAATAAAAGGTACAAATAACGCGGGGGGCGGGGAGGGGCGTGGGCGCAGGGGGGCAGAACTGATTCGGTGACATCATATCATCACCGCTACCAGCTCGGCCAAACCGGGCCAAACCGGGAGGAACCCACCACTGGTGTGTGTGTATTCCAGCTCTATTCTATTCTAAAATTATATTCTAAATAAGCCCTAATGCATCTTTTGGAGCAAAAATTAATATAAGACCTGGTCTTATTTTTGGAGAAACACTGGTATGTAGGCAATCAGAAGAACCCCTGAAAATAAAGCACTGATTGTCACTAGGAAAACATTTGGCCAGTTTCCTTCTTACCAGCTGGGATAACTGGACTTGGACGTCACTGGCTTCCAGAGGAGATTCACCGTAACCCTCCAACAATGAGGGGTTTTGCCGATATTTATGGGAGCTAGCAGAGGAAGGCAAGGAATCTTTCCCAGTTATTCCAAGGTCTCCTAAATGAAGGGTCTCTCCATTCTGATCCTGGAAAAAATATAAAAAAAGAAAATTATGGACAATTTTCCCCAGAGGAACGGTTTCTCCAGGAAGGCCTCACTTCTCCTTTACATGTTTGTGTTTTGTGACACTGCTGTGGGATTTGCGTCAGGACTCTGGTCAAACACTGCAAAGACATATCTTGTTCCTTGCTTGCCAGCAAAAAATAGTGGGATTTTGCTGGCAATTGTCGCATTTGCCCAGATTCGTCTGGTGCGCCAGTTGCGTCCCTACCTGGACCGTGATGCCCTATGCACAGTCACGCATGCTCTCGTCACCTCCCGGATCGACTACTGCAATGCTCTCTACATGGGGCTGCCCACTCGGAGGCTTCAGCTGGTGCAGAATGCGGCCACGCGGGTAGTAATAGGAGTGTCCTGACACTCACATGTTACACCTCTCCTGCGGGACCTGCATTGGCTACCGGTTGCCCTCTGGGTGAGATTCAAGGTGCTGGTAATTACCTATAAAGCTCTACATGATGTAGGCCCGGGGTATTTGGCGAACCATCTGCGGCCAGCGACAGCGCCCCATCGCCTGGTGCGGTCTCACAGGGAGGGCCTCCTTGGGGTGCCATCGGCCAGACAATGTCGGCTGGTGACCCCTAGGGAGCGGGCCTTCTCTGTGGGCGCACCTACCCTGTAGAATCAGCTCCCCCTGGAGCTCCGGGTGGCCCCTAACCTTCGCTCTTTCCGCCGTGACCTTAAAACATGGTTATTTCGCCTGGCTGGTTTGGACTGAAGGGGGTTTTAAAAAGGGATTTTAATGGTCTTTTTATAATCTTATTGGGTATTTTTAACATTGATTTTGCTTGTTTTTATTGTCCTTCGGAGCTAGGGGGCGGCATACAAGTTAATAAATAAATAAATAAATGAATGAATGAATGAATGAATAAATAAATAAATAAATAAATAAATAAATAAATAAATATTGCTTGGCCATTTCCAAGGAAATGTGAATAATATAAAATGCAACATGTAGGTAAAATAAAATCAAACACTTGGATAACCATAAAATGCAAGTAATGTTAATACAGGATGATGTTCTTGGAAAAAGAGACTATGCTTCAAATTGGAGGGACGCGGTGTCTCAGTGGCTAAAACGCTGAGCTTGTCGATCAGAAAGGTCGGCAGTTCAGCGGTTCGAATCCCAGCCCCACGTAACGGGGTGAGCTCCCATGACTTGTCCCAGCTTCTGCCAACCTAGCAGCTCGAAAGCACGTAAAAAATGCAAGTAGAAAAAATAAGGACCACTTTTGGTGGGAAGGGAACAGCGTTCCGTGCGCCTTTGGCATCGAGTCATGCCACATGACCACCGAGACGTCTTCGGACAGCGCTGGCTCTTCGGCTTTGAAACGGAGATGAGCACTGCCCCCTAGAGTCAGGAACGACTAGCACGTATGTGCGAGGGGAACCTTTACCTTTATGCTTCAAATTATGGCCAAAGATGCGCATTTCTATCCATCCCTACCACAAAATAATTCCACTGACTTCTTTGCAGCTCTGTTCAGCCATATACTCAGGTTTTTAAGACAAAGAGGAAGGCCATAGCAATATCCTGATAAGGTCTTGGCTTTGTACGAGGTGTGGGATCAGTGGTGAAATCCAAATTATATTATTACCAGTTCTGTGGGCGTGGCTTGATGGGCGTGGCAAAATCTCCATTCCCACCCCACTCCAGGGGAAGGATACTGCAAAATCCCTATTCCCTCTCCACTCCTGGGGAAGAATATTGCAAAATTCCCATTCCCACCCCACTCCTGGGGAAGGATACTGCAAAATCCCTATTCCCTCTCCACTCCTGGGGAAGGATATTGCAAAATCTCCATTCCCACCCCACTCCTGAGGGAAGGATACTGCAAAATCCCCATTCCCTCCCCACTTCTAGGGAAGGATATTGCAAAATCTCCATTCCCACCCCACTCCTGGGGAAGGATATTGCAAAATCTCCATTCCCACCCCACTCGTGGGGAAGGATGCTACATAATCCCCATTTCCTCCCCACTCCTGGGGAAGGATAATGCAAAATCCCCATTCCCTCTTCACTCCTGAGGGAAGGATACTGCAAAATCTCCATTCCCTCTCCACTCCTGGGGAAGAATATTGCAAAATTCCCATTCCCACCCCACTCCTGAGGGAAGGATACTGCAAAATCCCCATTCCCTCTCCACTTCTGGGGAAGGATATTGCAAAATCTCCATTCCCACCTCACTCCTGAGGGAAGGATACTGCAAAATCCCCATTCCCTCTCCACTCCTGAGGGAAGGATACTGCAAAATCCCCATTCCCTCTCCACTCCTGAGGGAAGGATACTGCAAAATCCCCATTCCTTCCCCACTCTGGGACCAGCCAGAGGTGGTATTTGCCAGTTCTCCAAACTGCTCAAAATTTCCGTTACCGGTTCTCCAGAACCTGTCAGAACCTGCTGGATTTCACCCCTGTTTGGGATGCTAGAATTTGGATTCCTGCATGGATCCGGGAGTGGTCTGGATGCCCACTCGGTGTCTAGGTTTAAGATGACATCAAAGCTGGTTTTGACTTCTTCCTCCCAGAACAACAGAATGCAAGAAGGAAAAAGGAGTACAAGTTGTACTGTAGTTATAAATAAATGTGCTGGAGCAGGGTTGAAAGAAATTAGCTCCTAACCTTCACCAAAGACAAAGCAAGCAACAACAAACCATGGTCTGTGGCCATTCACTCCTCTTGCTTAGTTCCTAGGATTCTAGCCATAACTGCTGAAGGAACTCTGTCATCCCTGCAGTTTGCTCCGAATTGATGCCTCAGCTTTTAGGGCAGCCTTCTCCAAATGTTGGACGCTCCCCAAATGTTCAAACTTCGCTCCATGATTCTCAGGAGCAGCCAAAATGTGTTGTGGGGGATTCTGGGAATGTCAGTCCGTCTTATCTGGAGGATATATTTCGGTTCTCAGAATCTCAGTGATTGCCAGGCTGGAGAATTCTGGGAATTGAAGTCTGTCTATCTGGACATTGATTGAATTCTGCAAGGTTCAGACTCTCTGGGAATTGAAGTCTCTCTATCCCAGTGTTTCTCAACCTTGGAAGCTTGAAGATGGGTGGACTTCAACTCCCAGAATCCCCCAGCCAGCGCTGCTGGCTGGGGGATTCTGGGAATTGAAGTCCACCCATCTTCAAGCTACCAAGGTTGAGAAACACTGCTCTATCTGGAAGACAATCATTTAACTCCCAAGATACTCAGCAAAGGCCAGACTGGAGAATTCTGGGAGCTAAAGTCCACCTCTATGCCATCCTATTTAGCCACAGGTGCTCGCGCGAGCAAAGGGCATGCACGGAAGGCCGGACACATGTGTGCAAGGCAGGTGCATGCACGAACCGGGGCACGCGTGTGCACAAAGCGGGTGTGCATGCGGCAAACCAGTAGTAACATACTACCGGTAGTCAACCACTGCAGGTTGTATTAGAACGACAAGAATGATGGTCTTTTTCACAACCAATTTTGATTGCTATTTACCTTTTCAGAAGGGAACCTCAGGAGCTCCAGGTTGCTCATGCTGTTTGCTTGGGCCCACTTTGGCCTGGCGCCTGGAAGAGAAAAGGGCAGCCATTGACGAGAATTTCAAGACAAACGAAACTGCAAACCGGGAACACAGCTGGTCTTCAACTTACAACCACAATGTCTGTTGCTAAAGTGAGACATTTGTGAAGTGAATTTCGCCCCCTCTTACGACCTTTCTTGCCACCGTTGTTAAGTGGATCACTGAAGTTAGTAACATGGTTGTTAAGTGAATCTGACTTCCCCCGTTGACTTTCTTATCAGAAGGTTGGAGCACTGCAATCTGTTCTGCCACAACTACGGACCCCAAAGAACGCAGCACACACAAAAACCATTTTTGCCGCAGTTGTTGAGTGAATCTGGATTTCTCCATTGACTTCGTCGGAAGCCGACTGGGAAGGTTACATTTGGTGATCACATCACCCCAAGATGCTGCAACGGTCATAAATATGAGTCAGTTGCCAAAGGCTTGAATTTTAATCATGTGACCATGGGGATGTCGGAATGGTCATAAGTGTGAAACATAGTTATAGGTCACTTTTTTCAATGCCGTTGCAACTTTGAAGAGTGTGTAGGAAGGCCTCCACTCCCCAGATTAAAATATTCTTTATTCTTAATATTAAAAAGAGGCAGGATGGAATATTTCCCGTAAAGGAGAAGAGGAGGAAAAATCAAAGGCGGAAAGCAGGCCCAGTCTTCCTGCCATAGGAAAACAGCCTCAAGCAGAAGCTTTAGGAATGCAGATTTTGTATCCATTCAGAAAGACTGGGCCAATCTATTCATAAGTAGAGACTCCAAATAAGCAGCACAATTAAGGCTAGCCAAAGCTGACAAGATTAGCTCAGACAAACACCTAGGATTTGCCTTTCCCCTTTTGCCTGTAGAGCCAGCCATGACCCCTACATGACCCTATAGGAATGTGGCAACAGCCATTAAAATATTAAAGGACACGGGAACAGGCATCTCAATCACAAAGCCCCAAAGAATGTATAAAAACCTATCTACTCTCAACCCTATTTTGTCAGCTACCACAGAAACATGCTGCTGTCACTGAAGTTTCTAGCACCCAAATAAAGACAGACCTTCTTTCCTGCAGCCAGCCTCCATTTTATTTCCAGCGTCTTTCTCCCGGCTTCGAACCAGACCGGATTTCTCTTCCAACAATTCACTAAATTAATGATTGTAAAACAAGGACTACCTATATCACTGAGTGCTGAAAAGGGAGCACTTCATGTGCGCTTGTCTGGGCCGAGACCAGGAATAGGAGTTGCCCAGAGGCATGCACATGCCGGAAACACTTGCGGTTTCTTCAGATTACTGCTGGCAAGTCTTTAGGTTACTGCCACGCATGCGCCGATCAGCTGGCCAGTGCACATGGTCATGCCGGAAAATGGAAGACCAACTCTTCCGATTTCCGGCACTGATGCAAGCACAAAGGCCAGCTGATTGTCGCACACGAATGCATGCCAGAAACCCGGAAGAGGAATGGGCGATGCCATGTGTGTTGTGGCCCATCAGCGGCCTGTGCAGATTGTAACTGATTCAGACAGTGAGGAGGCTGGTGTGGTGCTGCGCCAGCAGCCTGTGCAGCTGGCAGTCGAGTCAGACAATGAGAAGGCTGGAGAAGATGTGGTGTCAGAGGTGGGGATTCAGCCAGGGCCTTCAGAACCTCCAGAAGCTCCTCAAAGTGAAGAGGACGAAGAGGAGGAGCTTCTTCTTGATGCACGGGTGTGCAGAAATGCCAAAAGGCAGGAGTGGCTCCTCAGGAGGAGGTCTCCTCGAGAGTAAGGCTTGGGGCTAATTGGCCACTCCCTTAGCCTATTTAAGGAGGAACGCTGATTGCAGCAAGCTGTAGGGAACAACTTTAGTTCACTCTCCTTCACGTCTGGATTCTCTGTAAATTGCTTCTGGACTTTCTGGCAACCATAGTAAGATTGTGATTACTTTATCTTTGGTTTCTTGTAGAAAGTTTATTAACGGGCTTTGTTTGAAAAAACTGAGTTATTTTAGTAAATTAAGTTTTGTACAGATTTTGTGTGTGCTGGGTTCTTTGAGGTCCGTAGCTGGGGCAGAACAGTGTGTGCCAAGCGACATGGCTCTCTGTGCCACTTTGGGCACGTGTGTCATAAGTTTGCCATGACCGACCTATATTCTATGTTCTGTTTCTAAATCTGAAGTTTAGCTTCCAAAATACAGGAAGTAATTTGCTGTATATGATTCTGCAGTGGTCCCACCATGCTTAAATCTGATAGCCTGCCCACGTTAGGAGAAGGAGGCAGAGAGAATGAGAAGCGTCAGGAAAATGGAAATTTAAATCCTATGAAAAGTGATTAAAGTGGAGAAAATTGAGGGGGATATAACTATCCCTTTCAAACACCGAAAAGGATATTGCAAAGAAGACGATCGAGCCCACGGCTCTCTTATTCCAGAATGATTGCAAATAAAAATATTGTACCTAAAAATCAGACGTGCAAATAAACAACAAATTTCAGTATTATTTTTTTTTTTTATACAGGCAGATGACTGCAATGCCCCATAGACAGGAAGAAAAGTCTGTTTGGCTTGGAGATAAATAGAAACAGGCTGCCTGCCTGTGCTGGAAAGTTTTTAGGAAATATTTATAGAATGTGATTGCTAGGAATTAAGTTTTTATACTATCCAGAGACAATTATTCCTCTCTTGCGATGGGACTATACAGAACAGCAACATTAGGAGGTAAAACCTGAATCTGTTTCTATGCCTCTCGTAGATCACTACTGCAAAGGTTGCCTCACACTTAACAACAGTTTTGTGAATGCCATGGGCCATAATCCCCACTATTCCACTACCATTTCCCACCGACTCTCCCTTTTCGAAATAGTCCTCGACTTCGGCCCACAATTGAGCCCAAAATGCCTGCTGCTAAGCAAGACCGTCGTTAAGTGAGTTTTGCCTCATTTTACGACTTTTCCCGCCACTCCCGTTGTTAAAGGAATCATCGCGCGTCTTCAATGAGTGACACGGTTGTTAAGCAAATCCAGCTTCCCCATTGACTTTGACAAGAAGGTCTCAAAAGGGGATCACGTGACTCCGGGACACTGCCACCGTCATAAGTGTGAGACATCTGTCAAGCAATCAAATGTAAATCACGCAGGGGATGTGATTTTGTTTTTTTGAAAAAAGATTTTTATTTTTATTTCTTATACACATAATGTACATGTACATTCTTTTATCCATAATTGGTCATATATTTACATATTTTTTCTAATGAAAGCATAAAAATAAGACATTTTAATTACATTTGGGATTGCTCTTCTACCCTCTCTTTTTTCTCTTTTCACAACAAACCTTCTCCTTCTTCTTTCCTTTCCCCTCCCCCTCCCTCTTCTATTTTCTTCCTCCTCCTCTCTTCTACTCCCCTACTTCCCCTTCCTCTCTCCCACTCCTCCCTCCTTTCTCGCCTTCTCTCCTGCTCTTGTCCCCTATCCTTTCTTCCTCTCCTTCCCCTTTCTTCCATTCCTCTCTCTCCCTCTCCTTCTCTTTCCTTTCTTTCTCCTTTGTTGTGCAATCTTTCCCTTATTTGGTATCCGAGCAACTTCAATTTTCTACTAACATATACTTTCTTTTCAATTTCTTTCCCATTTTACCTAATCTATCATTTCATAATTGTACATTTATAATCTTCTTTTTTCTCCCCAATCCCCCTTTTCCATTTACTCTGGTGTCATCTGAGTTTCTATTTTTTTTTACCTTATCCCTCATTTAACTTCGTATTATCTATATCATTGCGACAACGGTCCTACGTGTGAAAAATGGTCATAAGAGTCATTTTTTTCAGTGAATTTATAACTTCAGTCACTAAACTAACTGCTGTAAGTCAAGAAGTACCTGTATGTATGTATGTATGTTGAAAAAAAGAAAGAAAGAAAGAAAGAAAGAAAGAAAGAAAGAAAGAAAGAAGAAAGAAAGGAAGGAAAAGGAAAGAAGGAGGAGGAAGGGAGGGAGGAAGGAAGGAAGGAAGGAAGGAAGGAAGGAAGGAAGGAAGGAAGGAAGGAAGGAAGGAAGGAAGGAAATTAAATAGCTACATCTCTTGATAAGTGTCTATGATGAGCCTCGGTCATCAGACTTGGAGAACATAGTTGTCTCAAAAGTGGTTTTTTTTTCTTTTTTCTTGTTTGAAAAAACAACTGGAATGATGTTTTTTTTTGAGGAAGAAGAAGAAAAAGAGGTTTCGCTTCCCATCCAGGAAGCTTCATCAGTTCTACTGATGGTGGGGGGTATGGATGGAAAGGACAGGTACTGACAGTTGAGAGTATCTGATTGTGGGGGGGATGGAAGGATAGGTTCTGACAGGAGGGTGGGTGGGTGGGTGGGAATGAAATGGGAATGGAAGGATTGTTTTTTCTGGTTCAGGTGAAAACCCCAAGAAGCCTTCAAGAGCTCTCAGAGAGAGTGCTAACGACCAGATGACTGCAAAGAAACACAATTCTTTCCTTTCCTTTCCACGGACGCACACACATCCAATCATCCTGTCAGAACCTATCCTTCCATCTCTCCCACCACCAGTTCAACCGATGAAGCTCCCTGGATGGGACGCAAAATTTTTCTTCTTTTTCCTCAAAAAGAATCAATCCAGTCACCTTTTCAGGCGAAAAAAAAATATACTTGAGATAACTCTCAATAAGGTACAAGAAATGAAATCTTCTCCTGTATTATGTTTTCATTCTGTTTTGGTCGCCACGATGTAAAAAAGATGTGGAGACTCTAGAAAGAGTGCAGAGAAGAGCAACAGAGATGATTAGGGGACTGGAGGCTAAAACATATGAAGAATGGTTGCAGGAACTGGATATGTCTAGTTTAATGAAAAGAAGGACCAGGGGAGACATGATGGCAGTGTTCCAGTATCTCAGGGGCTGCCCCAAAGAAGAGGGAGTCAAGCTATTCTCCAAAGCACCTGAGGGCAGGACAAGAAGCAACGGGTGGAAACTCATCAAGGAGAGAAGCAACTTAGAACGAAGGAGGAATTTCCTGACAGTGAGAACAATTCATC